AAAAATGGGGTAAATGAAGACTTACCCTTTTAGCACAGCAATGCAGCAACTTCTGGACCAAGAATGTGAGCTCTCAACCTCTGCAAATGACCTCCAAGGTGCTGGAACGGATGGTGGAGGTGGTAGGCTATGAGGTGTAGTGCAAATGGTGCAAGAATATTAGGGTTTGGAGGCTTGAAGTATAGAGATAGATGGAGTTGTATGTATGCTCCAGCCAAAACTTTCTAACCCTTGCAAATAGAGGGGGAGTGTTGGTTTTATAGAGGAAGAAGGCCAAGGCTTCTTGGAGAAGCCTTAAGAGAGGGTCAAAGCTTCTCAAAGAAGATTAACCAAAGGGCCAAGCTTCTTGAGGAAGCTAGACCAAAAGGGTCAAGCTTCCTCAAGAAGCTTGACAAAAAAGTCAAGCTTCTCTAAGAAGCTAAGCAAAAGGGCCAAAACCAACTTAAAAAGACCAAAAAGAGGGTCAAAACCCCGAAGGAAGGGTTAAGTACTTCACAGCTGGCACAGCTGTGTTGCACTCAAAAAGAGCAAAAAGCTGAAAGCTGGCCGACCAGCTTAGGTGGTCGGCCGGCCACTCCCCCTGGTCGACCGACTAGGGGTCAAAAGGTTCAAGGAGAAATGCTGGCCGGCCACCCCAGAAAGGTGGCCTCCCAGATGAGTGCAACACAGCTGTATGGTAGAAAATCAGAAAATGTGACCCAGGAGAGAGAAAAACCAGCTTTTTAGCAAGGTTCAAAAGGGTCAAGAAGAATTACTGGTCGGCCTACCCATATTGGTGGCCTCCCAGATGAGCACAACACAATAATGGTATGAAAAGCCAGAAATTGTGGCTCAAAAGTGAGAAAAACCAGCTTTCTATAAGAAAAATCGGCTTTAGGAGAGAGAAAAAGAGAAAAATGGTTTCCTAGGAGAAAAGGTGGCCTCCTACCACACTACAACCTCCCTAACAATGAAAATAGGGTCCCTACCAAAAATGGACCAAGACAGATGCAAAATGAGGGTTCGATGGCCAAAACGCGCAGTCCGAGGCCCCGAAAACAGGCTGTTAGGCACCGGAAGTGGCGTATGACCACGAAAGTGGTCTCCCGGGCCACAGTGTCCCTCTAAAGGGAGGAAACAAGGTGTATGCCAAAAATCAGAGCAAACGGAGGTAGTTAAGCAGTCCCGAACCGAGGCACACGACCGACGGCTCAGAAAACCAAAAACTGGACTCCAAACGAGAAAAATGGCTAACAACCACGAAACGTAGCCTACGGCCACTGAGAGATGGTCTATGAGACCTCTCCATCTCTTCAAGAAGAGAAAACAGAGAAAACAGGACCTGGTTCGCAAACCAAGGCAAAGCACAAAAGAGCCCCGAAATTCGGAGGCAAGGCTCGCGGCCGAGACTCCGCAACCTCAGAATGAGCACAATATGCAACATCACCGAGCGCTCAGTTGGTGATGTCTGAGTCTTAAGGTCGGTTAAAAATAGGGTGTCTACAGTACTCCCAACTAAGAATGAAATGGAAGGCAAAAGGGAGCAAGGAGGGTGGATTCCAGTGTTGAAGCAGAGAGGAAGACCAAGGAACCAAGGAGTAAGGATTGATGGACGAAGATTAGGTCTATTCACTCTATTTGTGGACAATATACTTGAAGCAATGAATCCAAGAGGTTTGCACGAGTTGTTCACTAAGTTTGGGGTTGTTAGGGATGTATTCATTTCTCAAAAGAGAAGGAGATCATCAAACACAAGATTTGGTTTTGTGCGTTTTGATTGCCATGTTGTAGCCAATGTGGCAGCACAAAAAGCAAATGGGCTATGGATAGATGATAGAAACTGACCGTAAAAATTGCAAAGTATGGGAAGGACAATGGAGAAAACAAACGGTTGAAGCCTGCAATAAGGAGGACGTTTGAGGGAAAAAATGTAACAGTAAACTCTATGAAAAAAAGTTTGAACCAGCCCATTGATAAAAGATCGTTTGTAGAGGTTCTAAAAGGAGCAACCTCAGTCGACAAACATAACATTACTAGTAATATAGAGGAGATAGGCAATTGATGGTTGTATGAAAGCATCATTCTAAGGCTCAAACCAATATTATCTATTCTGACAATCAAAGAAGAACTCAAACAAAAAGAAATGACTGATGTGTTAGTAAGAGAGGGTGGAGGTCGTGATGTTATGATAACTTTCCAGTCAAAAGAGGATATGAGAATCAATAGAAGCAAGCTTATTGTCTAGTTTCAGGAATAGAATGAGTACATAAAGGAATGGTCAACAGATCTATATCGTGAGCAAGAGATGTTTGTATGGCTGAGCTGCTATGGAATACCATTCAATGTATGGAATACAGATACCTTCAGAAAGATTGGAAGATTATGAGGGAGGTGATTTATTTTGATGTAGATACCTGTGAGGGTGTAACTTTTCGATGTGGAAAGATAAAGATTGCCACAAGAGTCATGGAGCCAATAAATACAAATATAAATCTGGATTGCAAGGGAAGAATATATCTTATAAGAGTTTGTGAAGAGCACATTGTCAAGGAGGTAAAAGCGACTTGCACATGCAGTAGAGTTAAAGGTGTTGGTGAGTATGTCAGCTCTAATGTTAATGGTGAGGTGCAACCCATTGATGTTCCCAGAGAAGAGGAAGATGAAGATGACCTGGCAGTTGTGGTGGTTGATGATGTGGAAGATAACAATGAGCTGGCTGAAGGGGATTTGCTAACTAGGGGAGAAGAATAAGGTGAGATAGAAGTAGCTGGTAGCTTGATGGAGATCCTAATAGTTGAGGAGTCTGAAGATTACATTGGGAAATCAACTGAAGTTGACAAAAGCAAGAATGCAGAGAGTCTTGGAAAAGCAATTGAGGATGGCACACGTGAGGCAGAGACAATGATGAAGGAAAAAGAAGGCTTGCAGCAGGGGTGTAATGATGAGACTCTAAAAGTAGGTAGACAGGCCCATATACCAAGTTTTGTGAGAAGTTTGAGTAGGTCTTCGAGGGCTAGATCAGGTATCAATTTTGAAGTTCTCTTGGGCCATAAGCATAGAAGTACTGAGATCAATGGGCCAGGTACAGTTCAACATCATGGATATGATATTTGACAGCCAAATGGGTGGGCTGAGCCTGGGCCTATTGTATTGGATTCTAAGTCTGATGATGGTGATACTCTTAGTGTATCCATTAGTGAATATATTTCTAATAAGAAGAAGCCTAGAAATAATAAAGGGAAAGGAAAAGTGGGTGCTAGAAATTCCATGATAGTTGGTAGATTTTCTGGGTTTACTAGAAGATTAGGGCATGGGGGGGTTGGATCCTGTAAAAGTAACCACAAAGGTGCAGCTGTTGTTGTGTTGAAGTCTGTTTCAGGTAAATCTAATCTTAGTTGCTTCAAAGGCAAACTACATGAGGCTCAACTCACACTTCTTCTAAGTAAAAGCTTAGGGATTGACTGCATGGGGCAAGATGAGGAAGTGCTTTAAAAAATTGTTTAGATGAAGGAGATGAATGAAGAAAGAATTGGAGTTAGGGCTAATGGGGCAGCATAATCAGTTCCCACTGGGTGTGTTTGAAGAGCATTAGACTTGTTGCTGTGAAGTGGTTAAGCTGGAATATCAGAGGCATTGGAAGGCCTGAGAAGATGAGAAAAATTAGGAAGCTCTTGTTAGATAGGAAAATTGATTTGGCTTTATTTCAAGAAACAAAAAAAGCAAGCCTTTCAAGTGTAGATGTTAAAAGAGTATCGCCTAGAGATGAAATGGAGTTCCTGGTTGTTGATGCTAAGGGTCGGGCAGGGGGGTTGCTTTGTATGTGGGACCCTAAGGTGTTCCAGCTCTCAAATTATTGCAGTAACAGAAGTTTCACTATGCTTGCAAGTACTGTTTTCAACTCTTTTGAATGTGTTGTTATCAATGTGTATGCTCATAATGATACTGTGAGGAGAGGGAGATTATGGGAAAGTCTAGTGAACTTGAAAGCATCTTTCCCTGCACCTTGGTGTGTAGGTGGTGATTTTAATGAAATTAGAATTGTGGATGATAGAGTGGGATGTTCAAGAAGGGATAGGGGTATGAAAGACTTCAATGATTTCATAGATACGTGTAAGTTGATTGAGATACAAATGATGGGTAGGAAATTCGCTTGGTGCAATGCAATTGATGGAAACAAATGGAGTAAAATAGATAGATTCCTGCTTAGTCCTGAGTGGTTAGAAAGATTCAAGCTCAAACTTTAGGGACTACCTAGACTCATTTCTGATCATTGCCCTCTAGTACTATCGGAGGATGATAGGGACTAAGGACCCAAACCTTTTAAGTTCACAAATGTGTGGCTGCTGTACCCTAATTTTGCATCCTTTCTAGTGAAAGTTTGGCAAGAGACACAAATAAATGGCAGAGCAGGTTTCATATTGCGAAAGAAATTACATGCCTTGAAGTTAGCATTAAAGAAATAGAGCAAAAAGGTGTTTGGTAATGTCTCAGAAAAGATTAAAGAAGCTGAGAGTCAGCTGCATTCTTTGGATTTATTGACTGAAAATAGACTCTTGTTGGATGCAGAGTTGAAGTTAAAAAGAGGGGTAAGAAGTAAAATGTGGAGGCTCAGCAGAATGTTGGAATGAGAATGGTTGCAAAAGTCAAGATTGGAGTGGACTTTAAAAGGAGACAGAAACACAAGGTTTTTTCATGTGATGGCCAACAGTAGACAGAATAAGAATGCATTGAATTTTATTTAAGTTGAAAAGAGGGTGGTTGAGGATCCAGAGCAATTAAAGCAAGAGGTATGGGTTCATTTTAATAGGCACTTTTTAGAAGAATGAAGTATCAGACCTGTATTAATTGGTGACTTCAAGAGTGTCAGCTATTGTGCTTGTTTTCAGCAGTTGGAAGCAAAGTTCTTGGAGGAAGACATATGGGCAGTAGTACAAGAATGCAATGAGAATAAGGCACCAGGTCCAAATGGCTTCAACTTCATGTGTTTTCAAAAGAACTAGAAGGTGTTTAAAGAAGAGGCGATGCTTTTCATGAAGGAGTTTTATAGTATGGGTAGATTGGCTTATAGGATGAATAGCTCTTTCATCACATTAATTCCTAAGAAGGTCAATGCTCTCAATCTAAATGAATATAGGCCAATAAGCTTGATTAGGTCAATATACAAGTTGTTGTCTAAGGTTCTTATAAGTAAACTAAAACCAGTTTTGCTAGAAGTAATTAGTGAAACTCAATCAGCTTTTTTGGGTGGAAGGAATATCTTGGATGGAATTTTGATTGCGAATGAAATTATAGATGGGTGGAAGAAAGCCAAGAAGAAGGGGTTGTTGTTCAAACTTGATTTTGAGAAAGCTTATGACTCCATCAATTGGGGGTTTTTTTTTTCCATGTTATCAAATTTTGGTTTTGGTTCTAAATGGATTTCTTGGATGAAAGAATCCATCTCAACTTCTAGAATTTCAGTACTTGTGAATGGGTCACCAACTAAAGAGTTTAGTCCTCAAAAAGGTCTCAGACAGGGTGACCATTATTGCCTTTTCTGTTTAATTTGGCAACTGAAGGCCTTAATATTCTACTGCTCAGAGCTAGGGAGTTGGGATTGATTAAAGGGATACATATTGGTGTCAATGGGGTGGTTGTTCACATCTACAATTTGCTGATGATTCACTACTATTCTGTGAAGCTGATGTGCAGGAGGTGATGAATTTGAAAAGAATCTTAAGATGTTTTGAAATGGTCTTAGGGCTTAAGATTAATTTTCATAAGAGTGTGGTTTGTAGGGTAGGAATTTCTGATAGTTTTCTCAAGGATTTTGCTATTTTGCTTAATTGTAAAACCCAGAGTATACCACTGAAATTCCTTAGTTTACCTTTGGGTGCTTCTCCAACCAGAAAGAAGGTTTGGAAACTTGTCATTGACAAGATCAAAATTAGACTTGCTGGGTGGAAAATGAGGTTTCTTTCCTTTGCTGGCAAACTGACACTAATCAAGTCAGTGCTGTCCAGTTTGCCTGTGTGTTATCTATCACTATTCAAGATGCCAGAAGGTGTTGCAAAGGAAATCAATCGATTACAAGATGCTTTCTTGTTGGGGATGGGCACAGAATTGAAAAGAAAGATTTATCTAGTGTAATGGAAAGAGGTGACCAAAAACATTAGTCAAGGTGGGTTGGGAATTAGGAGAATCAGAGAGGTTAATACTTGCCTATTAATAAAGTGGTGGTGGAGATTTGCCAATAAAGATGAGGCAGTATGGAAAAAAGTGGTCTGCAATAGATATAAAATTAAAGAATGAGCATGGCTTCCAAATCAAACTGTTGGCATAAGATGGTCTAAGGTATGGGCTGATATACTAGCTGTGGCAGAGCAAAGAAACCCCCTTCTACAATTTTTTGTTGACAATCTTCATATTAAAGTGGGTAATGGGAGCAGAGTGGGATTTTGGCGAGATAAATGGTGGGGTGACTTTTGTCTAAAAGAGAGATTCCCTAAACTTTATTCTCTATCCACTGTTAAAAATGCTTCCCTCAAGTTCTTTGTTGATAACAAATGAAGCTCTAAGATGTGGGGTCTCAGTTTAAGAAGACCTTTGCTACAGTGGGAGGGTGATGAGGCATCCCGACTCACTGAAGTGTTAAGAGCAACACCTGTACTTTGTTCGGGTAAAAAAGATAAACCAAGGTGGCTTTCATATCAAACAGGTTAGTCCTTTGTTGCATCTCTTTATAGGCACTGTGAATTGGGTTTTGGTGTATTTGAGAGTTCTAGTAGGTTGGTGTGGATTAATTATCTCCCTCCCAAAGTTCAATTTTTTTGGTGGTTAGCTTGGAAACATAAACTTAAAACTTCTGTTTTCCTTCAATGGATTGGAGTTCTGGGTGAATGAGCATCCACTGTGTGTGTTTTTGGTAAATCTGAGGCAGATCTGTCGAACATGTTCTCATTTCTCGCCCTATGGTTTGGAAGGTCTAGATTGGTCAATTACAGTGGTGGGGAATAATATGGGTTGTGCCTGGTTTTGTTGACTGCTTATTACATTGGTGGGCTGGGAACTGCCTCATGAAAGCTGAAAGGAGGATATGGAAAGCTATCCCTTTAGTTGCTCTCAGCTCCATTTGGAAACATCGGAATGATTGCTTGTTCAATAATGTTCAGCCAAATATGGAGGAGTTGCAGGAGACAATTATTATTAGATTAGCTGTTTGGCTGAAAGCTTCTTCTAAGGATTGTCAGTTTACTATTAATGACTTTATCTACAACATCTGGCAGATTAGAGTTTGTTTAGGTGGCAGGATTCGTTGCAATTTACAATGACAACCATGTCTCCTGGTGTGCAGCAACAGCTGTTTATGGTCTGGCTCTGTATCTATTCTATTTGTAGCTCTATGGATTTGGTGGCTGAGTTTGTTTGCATATATGATTTTGTTTGCAGCTCTGTGGGTCTGTGGGTTTGCAGATCTGTGGGATTGGTATATGTTCTGTTTGCAGCTCTGTGCCCTTGGTTTCTGTTTTGTTATACTGTGCTGTGGGCTTTGTATTGAGGTGTTTGTTTTGCTTTTTTGGTTGGTTTTTCACCAACTTTGGGGGTGCTAGCAAATGATGTTGTTTGGTACCTTGTACTCTTTTTATATATTAATACAGTCTTTTGTTTGCCATTAAAAAAAAAAAAGAAAAAAAAAAGAGTTTTAGAAACTAAACTTTTTTGCTCTCAAAAATAAAAATTTTGTTACAAAAAATATTTGAAGACCAATTTTAGTTCTTGCAAAAATAGTCGCTATAAGGTAGTCTTGAAAAGTCAAAAAAATAATTTTTAGTGACAATCCAAAAAAGGAAAAATTAGAAGTGATCCCTCTACATATTTGTGTAAGAGTTTAAGGACAATCACAATTTATTTGGTAGTTAAAGTCCCTAAGATTTGAAATTTCATGAAGATAAGAACAAATTTCAACATAAATGGCAAGAATGCCCTTTTAACAATTGGTACTATGAAATTCCAACACCACCTCTCTTCATGGTAGACAAGTTGTATTTTAAAGTATTTTGTAAAATATATATTTTTGGAATCATCTCGTCGAGATCTATCAAACAAGATTCATGATAAATACGAAATTTTGAAAAAATAAAAAATAAATTTTCACTTAGTTTTCTGACTAAAAGTCAAATAAATTCGGTCTCAAAAAAACTTTGATTAAAAAAAAAAAGTACTATAAACTTATGATAAGGAAGTTAAAAATAAAATTTCCATTTTAAAAATGTCGCTAATAAATTTATTTTTTACGAATAAAATAATTTGGTCCAAAAAAAAAATATTTTTTAAAACAAAATATTTGATCCCATACAAATAGTTTTTCATCACTAAATATTCAATTTCATTGCTAAAAATATAAGGGTAAATTACACTTTATCCCCTTTATATTTGGTCACTCTCATTTTGATCCTTAAAGTTTGTTTTTCTCACTTTGGCCCATCATGTTTCATTTATTTTTTTTTTCGATTTCCTCCTAAAACTAACTTTTGTTCAAAATTAAACAGAAAATGCCACAATAATTGTCACATAACACAAAAATAAATTAATATATTGGGGTTTGAGTTTATGTCATATATATGAGTTATATATAATAAAAAAAATTAAGTCACGTGATTGTCAAATGTGTCATTTTCTATTTAATTTTCAACACAAGTTAGCTTTAGGATTAAACTAATATATATATATATATATATAGAGGCAAAGTGGGAAAAAAAACACTTTAAGGACTAAAGTGAAAAAGTGCCAAACATAAAAAGGACAATGCATAATTTATTTAAAATACAACAGTAACACTTTTAACGATAAAAATATTTTGTTCATAAAAGTAATTTTATTGTTAAATTTTTATTTTTAAAATTTTAATTTATTGTAATTTAATTTTATTTTTTCTAAATTTTAATTTTAACAGAGATAAATTATCCTTAAAAAAATAAATAAAATTTGCATTTTTTCACATGCGGCTGCCTCCCTCTCTCACTTGCCCTCAATTAATGGGGTCGGTTTGGTGGAGGGAACATATAACAGCAAGTATGACCACGAAATTTCACTATATTGTATGTATATCTCTATTAAAATTGCATACATAGTTTAATGTAAGATCTTCTACGAAGCTCTTAATTATGTTTGTGTACAACCAATCATTCGTGCACTGGGGTACGGATTATTCAACAATTAACTTCTCTCTGTGTTCAATTCGAGACTTTTTTTTTCTTTTTTTTTATTTGAAGTTTTCTAATAATTTTTCTTTAGGCCACGTTTGGAGACTTTGGTTTTTTAGCCAAAACAATCAAAAATCACTGTAAGTTGTTATGTGGCCATTTGAGAAGAGAGCAAGAAGCTGCGTTTTGCAGCATTGCTAAAAAGGCACTAGCAACATAAGGCTCCGTTTGGGAAGCAAGATTTAGGTTAAAATAGTCATATAAGATAAAATAAGTTATTTTAGTCCAATAAGATAAAACATCACATTCAACCCATAATCATTGCACTCTTTCTCTTACAAAAATAATCAAAAAAGTCAAAAAAGTCAAAAACTCTTCCCAAATTAGGTTTTTTATCCCCAGGCTAAAAAAGTCAAAAAACCAAAAAGCCAATCTACTTCCCAAACGAAGGCTAAAAAGCAAGCAGGCTGACTTGAGAAGGGACAAAAACATAGGTGGTGAAATTACGTAATTGCCCTCCATGAAATTACGTAATTGTTCAAACAACCACATGGGTCAAAAAGTAAATTTCCTAAGTTTGGTAGGGGTATTTTGGCCATTTTAATGTGATGTGACACCATAAATAAAAAAGTAAAAAAGTAATTTTTTACCAACTTCTCAAATCACTTTTCAAAAAAATCAAAAAACTTGGTAAAGAGTCAAAAATCAACTTTTTATTATTTTCTCAAAACACCCCTATATCACTTTCTCTATTGCTCTATTTATTTTTTTCATAAAAAAATAAAAACACCCTACTAAAATAGTTAATTTCTAAACAAGGTCTAAGAAATCTTATTTATAATTGGGTATGGCTTCTGTCTAGTCTGGGATCGGATTGGACCGTACTGTTGGGCCCATGGAGGCCCACCATGGGTCCCGTTTTGATAATCTGAACCGTCAATGTGTAGAACTTGTCGAGTACTATATGCTTGTAAAAAATCACTTTGATCGGATATCGATAGTTATATGATCAAATCAGTTTCGTATTAAAAAAATTGGACGGTGAACAAATTAACAATTGACAAAAAAACTATTTTGATCACATAGCTATTGATATCCGATCAACGTGATTTTTTACAGGCATATAGTACTCGACGATTTCTACACATTGAATGGTTCAGATTATCAAAACGGGACCTGTGGTGGGCCCCCACAGGCCCAACAGCATGGTCCAGTCCGATCCATACCATTTATAATTAACCATCCTTCAACCATGAAAAGTGTTACTATTAATTAAGAGCTGTTTGGGATGACCTAAATAAGTGTACTTTTTGTCTTTTTACAAAAAAATATGTAAAAAAGTAGAGAGGTGATGTGATAAAAAAAGATAAAAAGATAAATTATTTTTGAGTTGGCAAACTTGGCCTTAGTTCCAAATTTTCACTTTAATCTAGAAGCAACACACAATCAATAACAACAAAATTGATTTCAATAAATCTATGAACACTAAATTTATTGTAGAATCATACATAAAATATAAGTGAAATAATCTTAGTGAAACTATGCGTTTGGTAGAGTTTTAGAATTATGATTTGAGAATAAAGTTGTATTTTGAGTTTGTGAGTATTAGAATTATGATTTGAGTGTAGAAAATTTATGGGAGCTTTTTCGATAAATCTTTTTCTAAGAGCTTTATTCCATCCAACCCATATTCTTTTTTACTATTCCATTAGGTCCTATTTGAGGTAAGAAGACCAAAATACCATTTTCATCTACTTATATTCCATTTAGTCCACATTATTTTTTTATGTTTCAATAAGTCCTATGAGTGACATAATTACCAAAATACCCCTAATGTGAATGTTTACACCGTCAATGTGAATGTTCCTATTTGAGGTAAGAAGACCAAAATATCATTCTCATATACTTATGTTCCATTTAGTCCACATTATTTTCTTATGTTTCAAT